GCGGCCACTGCACTCCAGTCTGGGAGACAGAGTGAGACTCCAACTCAGGAAAAAAAAATAGTACTCCATAAATCCAAGGTATTTCAAATGCTTCCAATGGAATTAACTAGACTAGAGATTAACAAAATGCCCCCCCCCCAAAAAATGAAGTATTGCTATAGAGAACAATGCAACACTGATTTTTTTGTTGTTGTTGTGGTGGTGAAATATGCATTATAACATTAAATTTACCATCAGTATAGATCTTTTAGAATTTGTCTAGCAGGCTTTTGTGTGTGTGTGTGTGTGTGTGTGTGTGTGTGTGTGTGTGTGTGTGTGTGTGTGTGTGTAGCGGTCTCGCCCTGTTGCCTAGGCTGAAGTGCAGTGGCACAATCATAGCTCACTGCAGCCTCAGATTCCTCAAGCGATCTTCCTTCCCCAGCCTCCTGATTAGATGGGACTACAGGTGAGCACTACCACACCTGTCTGATTTTTAAAAATCTTTTTGTGGAGACAGGGTCTGGCTGTGTTAACCAGGCTGGTTTTGAATTCTTGACCTCAAGTGAGCCTCCCATCTCAGTTTCTTATAAAGTGCTGGTATTACAGGCATAGCCACTACACCTGGCCTAAAATTTTCCATTTTAACCCTTTTTTTCTTTTTTTGAGTTGGAGTCTCACTCTGTCGCCCAGACTGGAGTGCTTTGGCTGCTTCGGGCCACCTCAGCCTCGACCGCTGGGCTCCGGTGATCCTTCCACCTCAGCCTTCCGAGTAGCTGGAACTACAGGCGTGCGCTACCACACCTGGCTAATTTTTTGATTTATTATAGAGATGAGGTCTCACCAAGTTGTCCAGGCAGCTCTCAAACCCACAGGCTCAGGCAATCCACTCATCTCAGCCTCCCAAAGCGTGGGATTACAGGCTGAGCCACCGAGCCCAGCCATTTTAACCATTTTTAAGTGTGCAGTTCGGTGGCATTAAGTACATTCATAGTGTTGTGCAACCATCACCACCACCCATTTCCAGAACTTTTCCATCGTACCAAACGGAGACTCATTCATACACATTCATAATAATTGCTCATTCTTCCCTGCCCCTAACCCCTGGTAGCCTCTATCCTACATCTTGTCCCTATGAATTTGCCTGTTCTAGGTGGAATCATACAAGATCGGTCTTTTTGTGTCTGGCTTATTTCACCTAATAATGTCTTCAAGGTTCTTCCATATTGTGGCGTGTATCCAAATTTTATTCCTAATTAAAGCTGGATAATATTCCATTGTATGCTTACACCGCAATTTGTTGATCTACTCATCTGTGGAATTTAGGTCGTTTTGGTTTGTGAATCTTTTCAGGTTCTGCTGTCCCTTTTTTGGGTATATCCCCAGAAGTAGAAATGCTGGATCATATGGTAATTCTGTGTTTAATTTAAGGAGCCGCTTACCATTTTCCACAGCAACTACACAGCTTTACATTGTCACCCGCAATGTGCAAGCTTGCAGTTTTTCCACATCTTTGACAATATTTGTTATTTTGCGTGACAAAAAATAGTCATCTAATGGATATGAAATGGTACCTCCTTGTGGTTTTGGTTTGTATTTCCTAATGACTAGTGATGCTGAGCATGTTTCCATCTATGTATCTTCATTGGAGGAATATCTATCCAAGTCCTTTGCCCATTTTTGAATTGGGTGCTTGTTTTGTTGTTGAGTTGTAGGAACTCTTTATATATTCTAGAAATTAGTCCCTTACAGATAGGTAATTTGCAAGTGTTTTTCTTATTAGACATCATTTTTAGAGAGATAAATTAGGGTGGTAACAGCAGAAGAGAAAACGAGATGGATGTGAAAATATGAAAAATTGTCAAAATTTGGATAAAATGACAATGTTTGGATATCAGAATAGTTAGGAATGTTTTAAGCAAGAAAATTAAAACTACCTTTGCTTTAAAAAATTTTTTATTTTAAAAATGTGGGGTACAATTCAGGATTAGGTATACAAATGTCATTGTACAAGTCAAGTTTGGGCCTCCCTTTGTAACTTTGCTTTAAAAAAAAAAAAGTTGGCCAGCCATGGGACATAATGTCTATATATCATGCCTATAATCCCAGCACTTTGGGAAGCTGAGGTGAGAGGATTGCCTGAGCCAATGGGTTCAAGACCAGCCTGGGCAATTTGATGAGACCTCATCTCTACAATAAATCAAAAAATTAGCCGGGTGTGGTGGTGCACACCTGTAGTTCCAGCAGCTTGGAAGGCTGAAGCAAAAGGATCACCTGAGCCCAGCAGGTCAGTGCTGTGTTGGCCGTGAGCGTGCCGCTGCACCCTAGCCTGAGTGACAGAGTGAGATTCCAACTGAAAAAAAATTGTTTTTCTCCAGAGTAACCAAAAACTTTAAAAAAAAAAAAAAGAGATGGGGTTCTCATGGTCCTCTTACCTCCGCCTCCCAAAGTGCTGGGATCACAGACAGGTACCACCCCTGCTGGCCCAAAAAACTATCTTTGTATCAAAGATGTTTTTTAAACCTGCATTGGCAGTTGTTGACAAGTCTTCCTTTTTTACCAGGCATCTCAGGTAGTTTGCACTTTGATGAGGAAGAAACTGACGGCGAGCAAGAAGAAGGAAAAACGTTAGGATCCCATTCACCGTGTTCAGAAACAGAAAGGCCCAGTTCTGCATCCAGCCAGAAATCCAGCACGGTGTGTAGTTCTGAAACGTCTTCCTTTGAAATCACCTGTGTCCCAAACACTCCTTATTTAAATGCCGTTGCCGAGTGAGGTTTCCTTCAGAACATTTGAGCTCTAACTTGAGGTTGGTGGTCCTTCGTCTCTTCTGTCTCAGGTCAGCTGCTGTGAGGCCGTGCCTGTCTTCCTCCTTGGCCCCTTCATTACTCCACTGCTCCTGTCCTGATTTACCCTTTCAGAGTTTCCTTTCAGAAGACTGAAGACGGGGGTAAATCAGCAGGGTTGTTTTGTCCGGTTAAGTGTCCCTCGAAGAGAAGATGAGGTGTTCAGCCACAGCTGACATGTGACCCTCCTTTCAGGATGCAGGGGCTTCCGGTTCTGCAGCCCCCCAGGCTGACAGCCAGTGGGGAGAAGTGGATGATTTGGAGGCCTTCGCATGCAGCCCCGCCCCTCGGGGGGTCACAGTCAGGTGCCGGATAACCAGGGATAAGAAGGGAATGGATCGAGGCCTCTTCCCAACCTACTACATGCACTGGGAGAAAGATGAAAACCGGAAGGTAGGGGAGGAGGAGGAGACAGTGGGCATCAATGATTCTTGGGCCTCATGGTAGGGAACTGACATCCGTGTGAGACCAGGACAGTGGGAAGTAGACCGTATCTCTTAATTCTCAGTTGCAGTGTTCTCATAATCCAGTAGGTAAGATCTGCCCTTTTCCACCATCCCAAGAAAAAGTTTTAGCTGGGCTCGGTGGCTCAGCCTGTCATCCCACACCTTTGGCAGGCTGAGGTGAGTGGATTGCCTGAGACCGCGGGTTAGAGACCCGCCTGGGCAGTGAGACTTCATCTCTACAGTAAATAAAAAAATCAGCTGGACATGGTAGTGCGTGCCTGTAATTCCGGCTACTCGGAAGGTTGAGGCAGAAGGATTGCCAGAGCCCAGCAGGTCGAGGCTGTGGTAGTCGGGAGCGGCCATTGCACTCCAGTCTGGGCGACAGAGTGAGACTCCAAATCGAAAAAAGAAAAAAGAAAAAGAAAAAGTTTTGTCTGTGTTGTAAGAAAATGGACATGAATTTTTATCCCATTATTATTTTTTAGGTATTGCTGTATTTTTTTTTTTTTCAGTAGGAGTCTCACTCTGTCACCCAGACTGAAGTGTAGTCTTACTTTCACGGCCACTGAAGCCTGGACCTGCTGGGCTTCGGCGATCCTTCCACTTCAGCCTTCCAAGTAGCTGGAACTACAGGCACACACCACCACACCCAGCTAATTGTTTTTTTTGAGTCAGAGTCTCACTCTGTTGCCCAGACTGGAGTGCAATGGCTGCTCCCAGCCACCACAGCCTTGACCTGCTGGGCTCCGCGATCCTTCCACCTTAGCCTTCCAAGTAGTTGGAACTACAGGTGCGCGCTACCACCCCTGGCTAATTTTTGATTTGTTGTAGAGATGAGGTCTCACCAAGTTGACCAGGTGGGTCTTGAACCCGTGGCCTCAGGCAATCCACTCACCTAGGCCCCCCAAAGTGCTGGGATTACAGGCTGAACCACTGAACCCGATCCAATTTTTTGATTTTTATTGTAGAGGCGAGATCTCACCATGTTGCCCAAGCTGGTCTCGAAACCCTAGGCTCAGGTAATCCTCTCACCTCTGTCTCCCAAAGTGCTGGGATTACAGGCATGAGTCACTGTGCCTGCCTGATTTTTTTGTTTTGTTTTGTTTTTCGAGTTGGAGTCTCACTGTGTTGCCCAGGCTGAAGTGTGGTGACATGCTCACAGCCACCACAGCTTTGACTAGCTGGGCTCAGGTGATCCTTCCTCCTCACCCTTCCAAGTAGCTGGAACTACAGGTCCATGGCACCATGCTCAGCTAATTTTTTGATTTATTGAAGATATGAGGTCTTACCAAGTTGCTCAGGCTGGTCTCGAACTCCTGGACTCGGGCAATCCTCTCGTCTCTGCCTCCCAAAGTGCTGGAATTACAGGCTTAAGCCACTGTGCCTGGCTGATTTTTTTTCTTAAAACTGAGTCTTGTAAGATTACTAGGCTGGCCTTGAATTCCAGTCAATCCTGTTGCTTGCCACTTGGCGTACCCTCCAGCAATCCTCACCTCAGTGTCCCAAGTAGCTGGGGCTGCAGGTGCTTCATCCTGCTTTGAAGATTTTTTTTTTAACTAGACGTTCTAGGGATTATGTTGAAAATAATTAAATGGAGAATCAAGTTAGTTAAGTTTTTAAAAATTATAGCTAGGAATGGTGGCTCATGCCTGTAATCCCAGCACAATAGGAGGCAGAGGCAAGAGGATTGCCTGGGCAACTTGGCAGACCTCGGCTCTACAATAAATTTAAAAACATTAGCTGGGCATGGTGGCTTGTGCCTGTGGTTCCAGCTACTGGAAGGCTGAGGCAGAAGGATCATCTTAGCCCATCTGGTTGAGGCTGCAGTGGTTGTGAGCATGCCATTGCACTCCAGCCTGGGCAACAGAATGAGACTCTGATTAAAAAAAACAAACAGCCGGGCTCGGTGGCTCAGCCTGTCATCCCGCGCCTTTGGGAGGCTGAGGTGAGTGGATTGCCTGAGCCCGCGGGTTCGAGACCCGCCTGGGCAGCGAGACCTCATCTCTACAATAAATCAAAAAATCAGCCGGGCGCGGTAGTGCGTGCCTGTAATTCCGGCTACTCGGAAGGCTGAGGCGGAAGGATCGCCGGAGCCCAGCAGGTCACGGCTGCGGTGATCCAGAGCGGCCACTGCCCTCCAGTATGGGCGACAGAGTGAGACGCCAACTCAAAAAAACAAACAAACAAAAATTATACAGGAAGGAAACCTTGACAGTAGATTCTGAAAAGGCATTAAGAGGCTTAGAAAGAGAGAAAAAGACCCGAAGATTAATAGCTTGACGCCTGATGGGGACTCGCTAAACATTTGATGAATGATTGGGTAGAACACAGGACACCCCGGGACTCCCGGGACTCCGCTGCCGACTGACACCTTTTCTTTTCCCAGATGTTTCTTCTTGCGGGTAGAAAGCGGAAGAAGAGCAAGACATCCAACTACCTTATCTCCACTGACCCGACAGACTTGTCTCGTGAAGGGGAAAGCTATGTTGGCAAGCTCAGGTGAAAGCAGCCTTACCTCACTCTCATGTTCGCTTTGTTTTTGTTTTTGAGGCAGGATCTTCCTTCGTCTCCCAAGTTGGAGTGCATGGCGTGCTCCTAGCTCACTGCAGCCTTGAACTCCTGGGCTCCGGCCGTCGTCTCATTCCAGCCTCATCAGTAGTAGCTAGGACTATAGGCAGGCACCGTCATGCTTGGCTATTTTTTTTTTTTTTTGAGTCAGAGTCTCACTCTTTTGCCCAGGCTGGAGGGCAGTGGCACACTCACAGGCACCACAGCCTTGACCCGCTGGGCTCAGGTGATCCTTCTGTCTCAGCCTTTCAAGTAGCTGGAACTACAGGTCTGCGCTCTCATTCCCAGCTAATTGGCTAATTTTTCTTTTTTTTTTTTTTTTGAGCTGGAGTCTCACTCTGTCACCCAGACTGGAGTGCAGTGGGCGCTCCCGGCCACCGCA